CAGATACAAAGTATAAGATACTGTAACTGTATGAGACCTTGTTTAATATTATGTACTGATTATAGGTAATGAATAATGAGTGTCTTGCAGAGGAGATTAAACTAGCTGATGGAGAGGAACAAGAACTGAGGACTTTACTTGATTACAAAGAAGGTGTGATAGTTGATCTATTACTCAATTACTGATGTTACTTATACTAATGGTATAGGATCAATATTTGAACAAGATAAACAACTGAATATCATCAAAAAAAGAAAAGGTATAGTTAGTGAATGATGAAGATATTTTATTAATGTATTTTTACTTGTATAGAGTATATTGAAAGGAGACTAGAAACACCAGGTATAGTACTAAGTTAAAGCATGTATTAAAGTAATGTGGAGTTGATAATCATTTGAACAATCAGTACAATTATCTTATAAATTAAAATTCTCATTGTGTCATTACTGTAGAGTCTAAACTGAAAGTGAAGCTACTGACTAGAGGGAAGTTGATAAATAAAATATTCAAATCAAAGAAATCAGAGACTGAGTATTTCCGAACCTCTCTCCTAATGAAAGCAGGTACTGAGTCTACTGGTATAATCTGTCTATACTACCTCATGACAGGAAGAGAGGAGGCATTAGTGGAGTATAAGAAAGAGATTGAGTTACTACAAGAAAATATATCAATAACTAGTGTACAACTGCTGATGAGTGAAAAGGGAAATATTGAGAGTATGTGATATGTTAGTAATTAAATCATTAACTGATTGATATATTGTATAGAGAAGGATCAGTGGACACAGTCACCAACAGCAGAATCTATTTACACAGCACGTATTGACTATCATGGAATATGGAGTTATCATCTTTCATTCAGTGAGGGAGAGCAGCTGGAGATATATGAGAAGCGGAGTAGTTTTGTGTGGAAAGGAAGATCCTTGGTGTCTGGTGATGAGGGAGACATTACTAGTAGTTGTGTTTACTCAATGTTGGAGTCACTTCAATTGTTAGAGTTTATACTGTCAGTGGAAGAAGTGTCCCTTCCTATTCTACAGAAGACAAGGAATGATTCATCTAGTAATGATGAGAAAGCTTCTCTCTTCTTGGAGACTATTAATGATGATCCTATTATGATATCTGCACTGAGACAAGACAAAGAACAACATGATAAAGGTAATATTTGTGATTATTGTGACAGTCAGTATAATTATTAATGAACATGTAATGTCATGTGTACATGCATACTTGTGTATGTAGCATGTACAATGTACATGTAATTTTATACATTATATTCCTGTCCCTACATATGTACACATTACATGTGTGTATGTATGTACATATGTATTGTGTGTGTGTATTTGTTTATTGGTTGTAGTGGCAACTAGCAACTTGTGTGTGTTTGTACTTTGTACCGTATACCATGAAGTTAAAATTGTGAATTACACAATTTTTGCTTTGTTGCAAAAATTTAAATCGCAAAAATTCTGCAGCTCCATTGCCTCGTGGTACAGTTTGCAAGTTATTTGCAAAACTTAATTTCATGAAATCTTAGAAATGCAGGATTTGCAGAAAATTTTTGTCGCATAAATTTCATAGTGTACGGTATATACACATAATGTGAATACCATATAGTGCTTTACTTTAGCGGTACTTTATTTTATCAATTTTGCTATAAAATTGTAATTGGCAGTTTTTAATTAAGTGATTTTTTGTGTACATGTGCATTACTAAGCATGCGCATTTATGATTGGCGGTTTTAATATTGGCGATTCTGCTTGCAAACCACCAATTGCCAAAATAAAACTCTCCAAATTAAAGCGCTATACAGTATGTGTATTATTATGTACATACATGTATATAAGTATAATCCTTTGGTTTATATTAGGAGTCACTGGGAGTGTGAACTGGTACAGTGACAGTGTATACCTTATCTCTCCATCTCCAGTTCAGTGTAATGAAGCGATTAGTAATATTAATAATAATCATGAGGTGATTAGCCTCAACTACTCATCTACTAATAGTACAGTATCTCTACTATCATCAACTAAACTGCATACACTAAACCTGAGGAGACTTGAGATATACTACACTCCATTAACTAATGATTGTATCCAGTACTTGTGTATACTACTAACTAATAATAAAACAATACAAGAACTAGACATCAGACACCACTCCATTAGTGATAGATATTTTACTAATATCTGTCAAGTTTTTCAACA